CCTGCCCTGTGGTCAGGGTTGGAATGTAATGGAATACAAGTATTTGGACTACGTATTAAGAACACAAACATCAACTATTCATATTCAGTCAAAGTTACATTTTAGGAAGGCAGTATTTAGAATACTTACCCACTAAATAAACAAAATCAATCTTCATAAGAAACACTAACAATGTTTTTCAGAATCAGCGCACAGTATGTAGTAAACATGCTCATTAGACAAACTCTAAAGAGGAACTCAATTAATGGCTTAAACACTGAAGGTTCTGCTACAGCCTAAGTAAACTGACAAATCAATATGATCAGTTATTAATCTGTGTTACTGAGATCTGCTAAAGCCTGAGTAGACTGATGAATCAATATGATCATTTATTAATCTCAGTGTTACTGAGCTCTGCTAAAGCCTGAGTAGACTGATAAATCAGTGTGATCAGTTATTAATCTGTGTTACTGAGCTCTGCTAAAGCCTGAGTAGACTGATAAATCAGTGTGATCAGTTATTAATTTCAGTGATACTGAGCTCTTTTGAGGGAGGATCAAACTCCTGCTAGGGTGATTATAGGAGCAGTGGTGAACAGAAGCAGACGGTGAGAGAGAGAAAAAATGTTTAACTTACCAACTTACTGTCTAACTGCTCCAGCAAATTGTCTATGCTTGCAGCTGTGGGTTGTAAACAATGAGACAATTTACAACCATTACTTGCCACAGTCCAGTTAGGCTGTATTATATATCACTGCTGTGTGTAACACAAAGTCAGTGTAGGAGCTCATCTAATACCAGATAACTTTCAGACAGTTGGTTAAAATTTCAAGAAACGTGTTCAAGAAATTGCTCAGACCTTTCTGTGATGTAATTTGTCTTTCATTTTGAAGTAAAAATGTGCCCCAGACAAACATGTACCATTAAGGTCTCTGATTTAGGTCAAGCCACAGTTTAAAAGCTGTAACAGCCTTCAGGTAAATCTTAGTTTGTCTCTAAAAGTAGCACAGATGTGGAGAAATAAAAGCCCCTTTAGGGCTGTAAAAAGTGAAAAATGTGGTGAATGTAAGCTGCTGAAACTCCTTCCTGTCTCTTATCAAGAGCATCAAACAACCAAAGAACTGTTACTTGTTTATAACGTACAAAATGTGTCTTAGTCCGTGTGAATTCAGATTTGTTACTAAACACATTATACATGTTAGCAAATGATTTCTGAAAAGGATGTTAAAAGAAACAACACTGTAACAGTATAAAACCATATAAAACTAAAGCGTGTTAGCCTCAGCGCAGAATGTGTGTTGCTCTGTATTACTTGTTGAGTATTATTTTGGCTGGGCAGTAATTCCTGTTGCTAACTTGCACAAATGGGAGAAAATATTAACCCACCGTTCTGTTGCAGCCTGAGGGGATCGAGGTTGATTTTCGGGTAGGGCGGTGTCCGGGTGTCTGAAACACTAGGCGGCGCTCCCGAGCAAGTCTAAAATGAATGAGTTAAGATGAAGCATTTGCGTAAAGGCATAGTTTATAAATGCTTAAACATTTTAATGTGAAAGAATACATTTATTTCCCGAACACAGAAAACCTTAAAACATTTTAACACCACTTTTATATTTTTTAAGGACTTGTAAACTCGAGTTTAAAACAGCGCCTCATGTTCGTCCGTGAAGTCAGTGAGGGCGAACAGCCAATGAGCTGCCCAAAACCCGTTTGCGGTAGAAGAAGGAAACATACATCCTTTTTAGTGAAATACATCCTTCTACTTTCTAAATTAAAGTTCTGGACGAGTGATGACAAACTATAACTTTTCGTTTTCAGCCGTTGAGCTCCATTCACTCCCGTTCATTGAGGATTTGCTCGCGGGCGCCCTCTAGCGTTTTGCAATCATGTTTTTGACAGAGCCCAGGCTCCCCTTAAACCGGCTCTGGCTAAAGTCGGCTTCTTGATCGATTTTTCACGTTCCACCTTAAATGGTGCTGCAGTTACATTGCGGAGAATACGAAGCTAAAGTACCGAGAGAGGCTGCACCTCTCCCTGTGAGTGGGCATGGTTTCACCACCTTGAGTGGACACGACCCCAGATTTTCAGAGCAGAAAATACCGCTTATTTTTTCAGGATTTTGAATTTGAACTTATTCTATATACCTGGCGATTTTTTAGTCAATGAAATGAACGAACATTTATGAGAATAAGACGTTTTTATGTGGTGTGACAAGTTCAGAACACACAGTTATTAATACTTTACTTGGACTTTAACTTAAGTGAAAAAACCGCTTATTTTGCTTGTTCACTCTGCCTCAAGGTTGGTGCTCTAATGTAAACCACTGTTTGAAGTTGTTACCCATTAGTAATTGATGTAAAATTGATGAGCAGTGATATAAGGAGCCTCTTAAAGACTTTAAGAAGCCTTGTAGAGAGGAGAATTACCTCTCTGTAATGTCTTCCGGGTTTCTCAAACGCTAGAGGGCGATCCCGAGTGAGTCCCAAACGAACGGGTAAGTTTGTAAATGCTTAAACATTTTTAATGTAAAAGAATACAATAATTTCCTTAACACTGAAAAGCATAAAACATTTTAACACTGCTCTTATATTTTAAGAGCTTTCAAACTCGAGCTATAGGGGTTTAAAACGGCGCCTGATGTTCGTCCATGACGTCAGTGAGGGCGAATAGCCAATGAGCTGCTCCGCTCGCCAATCAATCAGCACTCAGTAGCAGTAACGCCAGCGACCTGCTGCCCAAAACCTGTTTGCTGTAGAAAAAAAAGGAAACATACAGGTACGATTTCTTTGCTTTTTTACTGAAATACATCCTTCTGCCTTCCAAAATTAAAGAAAAGTTCTGGCCAAGTGATTAGAAACTATTTTAACTTTCCGTTTTTTAGCTGTTGAGCTCCATTTATTCCTATTCATTAAAGACTCGCTCTGTGGGGAGGGGAGCTCTGTGTATTTACAGTTATGGATATAATACTTTCCTAAAATAATAACATCAATGAACAGGGGCTGAATTCATGAAAACTTTATTAAGAAAAAGCTTGGTTTTTAAGACCAAAAGAAGTTCATAAGAATGTTCTTAAATGCAAATCTCAAAAAACAGTAAATTCTCGAATATTCTCTTAAGATAATCTTAATTATTTTCTTAACATTTTCTTAGGAAAATCTTTGTTTTTTTATGTAGGCTACGGTGCATTTTACCCCATACTATAAATGACACAAGACATATTTTGAATTTGTATTAACTTTTATTTCCATCATTAGTTTAAACCACTCAGAGGACCAAATGGGGGAAAAACATCAAACCAAGCATTTAAAAAATAAAGCAAACCTGAACTAGAGCTGGCGGTGGAAGAGACAGCCAACAGGAAAAAAAAACACATTTGAAAATACAATCATTGTGGGCTGATGGCCAAAAGCATGAGGTGAGGATGTGCTTGAGTAGATAAATTGATAAGTTTAGATGCTCACCTTACCTTACAACCTACGACAAGTGTGAGACTGTCGTAAGGTTAAGATTTACATTTAACAATATATTTTCAAGAATACCACTTGTTCTTAGAATTATTCTCAAGAAAATAGTTAAGAAAAGAAAATATGAGAATTCTTAAGATGTTATTCGAAGAATAACATTTTTTTCGTAACTTTTTTCTTAAGTACGAAGTTAAGAAAAAACACATTTAAGAAGATTTTCTTTCTTAAGACATTTTCGGGAGTCCGGCCCCTGATCCATACTACTGTCTTCCAGTATCATCCCAAGCATGATGTCATTTATTGAAAAGGTGTTCCATACCGGGTGGTTGAAAGATAAGCTCCCAGTACTGAACACCTTTTCAGTAAATGATGTAACGCTTGGGATGATGCTGGATGAGTCGCTCCAAAACAATTAAGTTAATACATGAGTAAAAGAGGTGGTCCACTGTGGTTTCAGTGTCATTCTTACTAAAGACACAAGGGTTCTACTCAAAACCAAATCTAAGTGTTAACAACTCACTTGAGGGGTGAATACTGATAGCCTTACAGTGAATAAATTTGGGGGCCACAGAAATGTAACATGAAGTAACATGAAGGTAATTAAGTGTCTGAGCCTTTTAAAGTTCTTGTAAGCTTCTTAAATCTAACTCCAATCTAAATGGTATAACTAGCTTCTTCCCCTTCAAGCCATGACACTTGAGAGTCACTGGGCCTCATTCACCAACTGGTCTTATGAAGAAAATCCTTCTTAAAACCCACTTATTCTGTGTTTATGATGATTCTGACATTTACCAGTGTTGTCTTATTTGGGGTTGTTCTTAGGTAAGAACAGAATCTACACACACTCAAGAGCACAAAGGGGTGAACAGCTCTGTGATTTAAAAACATGTAATGAATCTGAAGCAGACTTTTTTAGGAGCTTTCTCAAGAACACATTAAAGAAAAAACTTATGAAGTTATTGGTGAATGAAGAATAGACAGAATATTGTGGCGTCAGAATATTGTGGCGTCAAGAAATGTTTTGCATGTTCAGTTTAGGTTATGTTCAGTATGTTACTCGCAAAACAGGAGGGGTAAGTACCATAGTAGAGGCTAATAGGACACGTGTCCTAGGCCTCTTGGGCACATTAAGGTGACCTTTTAATGACAAAAACATCCTGCCCATCGAAGTCCCATCAATGCCATGACAACTGAGAGAACTTCAAGCTATTTAGCAGTGTCTTGCTGGTCTAAAGATAATAGGACCCTCAGTCCCTCTTCTGTTTGTTTTAAAACAAATGTTTATCTGGTTCACTGGTATTACTAGTGTCCTCAACCCAATTACTCTATTAGATAAAAGCATGTGTGTGATTAAAGGCCTCTTCAGAGAGAGGAACACCGCATGTTCCTAATGAGTGCTAATGCCAGAGAGAGCATGCAGCACAACTCTGAGGCTTATAATAACAGCTCGGATGAAAGAGTGTGGGTGCTGCTGAATCATCGTGGAGTGCTGCAGCCGGTGGTGTGCCAGGACTGTAAGTGTACACCCTCTTCTGTTTCCTCCTCATCAATAATGCATAGACTGCACTGAGGGAGAGGCAGACTGGTAAAAAAAAAACCAGTGAAGTCTGAGGTGCCCCGAGTTGCGGCTGTTTCTTCTGTGACATGACTTAGATCTTCATCTGATGTTTGTATGTATGCTATTATCTTAAAAGCATGTTTCTATCGCTGTGCATGTTTCATTGCAGCCAATCTAGAAAATGACACCATCGTTCATCGCTGCAGTAAATGCGCCGTATGTTTGACTGTCATTGCTTATTTTTGAGATAGTTTACGGTGCTGAAATACAAACCCAGTGCAGAAATGACTGAATAAGCTACAGATTCATTAATTAAAGCCTGACTTTGTTAGGTATGCATATGTCCTAATCCAGTGGCCCTGTATAGAAGGGAAAATTAGCATGGACGTAAGGTCTGGGAATGAATTGTACTATGTGACCCTTATGAGTAACCACAGCGGCATTTCAGAGATGGTACATGTAAGTGGGTCTTTGTTTGGGTTCAATCTCTTCATTCTGCTCATTACCTGTGTGCTGCGTCAGTAGCTCTTGTGAGTGCTGTATAAAGCATGGCTCTGACTGGTGGAGGGACAAGTTGCGGAGCAGCAGACAGCGGCATGTTCATCATGAGAATGTTGCTGAGTCTGGTGCCTCTGCTGTTGATCGCATGGAGCGGAACCAGCACTGACGCACTGCCCGTAGAGAACAAACTGCCACAAAGCAATGAGGTGAGGCCACACTACAACACTCTTACAAAAGATGGTTCTTCAAGGTTCTTTAGGAAAGGGAATGCTTCTATGACTAGAACTATTTCTATATAGAACTATTTTGTGCTCAAATGGTTCTTTGCAAGGTGAAATGGTTCTTCAGATTGATGGAGAATGTGTTGTATATGGTTCGATACAAAATTTTTTGAAAGCACCAAAAAGGGTTCTTTACAAGCTTGACATCATAACAATAGAAGAACCCATTTAGAACCATATACAGAATATTCTCCATCAATCTGACAAACCACCATGCCAAGAACTATTCAACTATTCAAGCTCTATGCAGAAGTCATCGTTCTAAACAGAACCATTCCCTTTACTAAATAACCCCTGAAGAACCATCTTGCTGGTAGAGTGCACTGTCACAGTGCTTACTGCCATTGATATACAGGTTTATTTACATTTCATGTGAGGGGCGGGGTTGTGTTAATGGGATATGTTAACTGAAAATGAGTAATGCATGTATACAAATACATACTGAGACACTGAAAATTATTTTAAAGATATAGATTCATTTTAGTAAAGTTTCCAAAACGTAATGCGCAATGCTAACTGGATTTTGTGTGGGTGGGGTTGGTTGGCACATGCACCTGTGTATTCCTATACTCACACTTGTATGCTGTAATCATCGTTTTCTGTAAGAATGTTTTCTGATGAATAAGTTATTATAATGGTTCTTACACAGATTTACAAATTTAAAAAATGTTATTTGATAAAAAATAAATAAATAAATAATGTGGTAGATATGCCACAGAGACTATATGTACAAAAGTCTGTAGACACATGCTTATCGTGTTTCTTCTGAAATCAAATGCATTTGTAGAGAGTTTGTTCCCTTTTTCTGTGGTAACAGCCTCTGCTTTTCTGAGGCTTTACACCAGATGTTGGAACATTGCTGTGAGGATTTAATTGCATTCAGTCACAAGAGCATCAGTGAGGTCGGGTACTGATGTTCAATGATTAGTTTTGGATCACTAACGCCACACCAACTTGGATGGAGCTCCACTACTCCAAAGAATGCATTGCTCTACAGCCCAACGCTGGGGGGCCTTATACCCCTCTAGTCAAAGCTTAGCATTGGATAGGGTGACCATAGGCTCCTGTGTGGCTGCTCCCGAGCATCCCATTCTATTAGCAATGCTTTTCGGTGGAGATTATACACACCGTGTGGATACAGTTGAACCACTGTATCAGCAATGTGTGCAACTTAAAGTAGCTGAATTAAATAATTAGAGGGCTGTCTGGATACTTTTGAATATTAAAATTATTATTATTATTAATGTTACAAAATTAAAGTTGTGCCAACCAATCCTATGTTGGACATTTTTTAAGTGAGATCTGTTATCTTATAACTTGGGGTATACAAATTGTGCTGAACACAATTTCCTCTGTCCTTTTGTTTGGTATGTGGTAACAATTACATCATACTCTTCAAAACAGTGGTTCTTCAGAGGTTCTTTAGTAAGGACAATGCCTTTATGTGAAACCATGAACATTCAAAGAAATATTTGCATGCTTCAATGGTTCTTAAAATTGATGGATAAATGTGTTGTATATGTTTCTATATATCACCAAAAAGAGTTCTTCTATTGTTGCAAGCTTGACATCACTAGCAGAACCCTTTTTACTGATATATAGAACCATATACAACACATTCATCAATCTGACAAAACATTTAAGCATGCAAATGGTTCTGTATAGAACTCATGGTTCTAAATAAATCCATTTACTAGATAACCCTTGAAGAACCATCTTTTTCAAAAAACATGTAGACAGTTCAAAGTATTTCAGACGGTCTCCTTTTCTCAGGTTTTGACGAAGGAACAGAAGGACCTGCTAATAAAGATTATGTCAGACCTTGCTGAACTGAACATGACTGTTAAAGACCTCGGAGCTCTGGACCTGGAGCAGCTGTTAAGTGGCAAACTAGGCGAGAGATCTGTATTCGGCCTGCCAGCTCGGGAGAAATCCCCATGCAAGAACTTCTTCTGGAAGACCTTTTCTGCATGTTAACACTGAATGATGAAGTGGACCACACCTCGTTTAACCTGATGTTCTATATACTGCATCACTAAATAAACAACCGAATCCTCAAATCCTGTGTACTAATAAATGTGATGTGGATGCCTCTGGCTTTTGCCAGTGGTTGTCTTCTCAAGCATGTTTGATAACCGTGAAGGATTACACTTGTGAAATGTAGTTATAGTTGGCTAGTACATAAAAGGTTTTTCATTACATATAATTTTATCATGTATTTGTTACTTTTTCAGTACTTAAAATGTTTCCATTGCTTGTATCTGTTCAAAATGCATTAAAATGTAAAGATATATTTTAAACATACAGAAGAACAAAAAAGCATTACATTTACTCCAAAGGCAACAACCACTGAGAGAATGATAAAACTCAAACTACTGAATCAGTGACCTCCTTGCAATTTTTGGTGAAAAACAGCCCATGAAGATCAGAGTGCACTAGAGATCCTAGTTACATTACCTATATGTAAAATTAATTTTATGAGTTTGCAGCACACTAATTGGGGCCCATCAGCTCTTTCCTGGTTGGCAACATTAGCCTTGTAGCTCTGATGAGATAAATGATAAACTCAAGAATTTTTATCAGCCACAAAACTGATGTGGTAAGTAAAAACTAACCTCAGGTCTTTAAAAAAGGTTGTTGTGCTTGGTGATTATTTCCCCTATCAGCAATAAAAAAAATTGGCACCATCTAGAGGTACACCAGAGAATCAACATTTCTTTGAAATTTTGATCTCTGCTGATTTTTTTTTAACAAACAATATGTAACAGTCTGTAGGTGAGGCTGGAAAAAACAGTCACTAATACTAAATGAGAATTCACAATAGCCCAAAACACATTTACTTGGCTCAGATGTTATTACAATACCACAATCATGGACTGCATAGCAGAAGCGTCTCAATTTGCCAAGTCAGTTCTGTTCTTTTCTCACATTCATAGCCTCCCAAACCTGCAACAGAACTGTATAAAACACTAAACTAAAAACCCAAGAACTCTATACAGGTACAAAGACCATTTGATTGGAAAATTAGATGTTTATTTTACACTTTAAACGACTAAAATGAGACGTGTGGATGGAGTTTAAAAATACAGTGATGCAATTCCTACGGGCCTATCTACTGGGAATTACCACAGAGATTCAAGTCTTTCACTGCCTAACCCCATTTCAGCCCAAACATTACACAAAATCCTGTCAGTCTAAACAGTTCACCCACGACACAAATGAGTAGACTACTGTTGTGGAAACAAAAAAGGCCTTTTCAACTTTCAGTGAAGTCTGACCACTTAAAATTACAGCTGTTGACCCTGAAAATTGTAACAGCTTTAACAAACAAAATGAAACAAAAACTTAACAGCCAGATGAATCAGTCTATCAAAGAACAATGATTCAAGAAACAAAACGAAAAGCATGAGTGTCAACAAGATCATTTGCCATGGGACTGAGGGGTTCAGGCATTTCTCCATAAAAAGACTTTTTGCCCTTGATTTTGGATTGGGTTTCTTTGGGCATGTGCTCCAGCCAATTTGGAATTGTCCTTTTAAATTTCAATAGGGATTCCAGGGATCCTGTTACAGTGAAGTGAAGAAGTCCCTTTTCAGGTATAAGGCATTCGGCAGCATCTCCACAGTTGGACTGTGTTGGGGCCGCCAACACTACACCAACTCCCGTCTTCAGCTTCCCCAAAACTGACTTCATTCGGGGTTCTGATGTAAACCTGGGCCAGCGGAGTCCAAGGTCCCTATACATGCGAATTAAATAAGTTTTTGCAATTCAATTAATTTTTTTGTAGCAATCAAAAATAAGCCACTGTCAAATACCTAGTCAAATTAGTTTTATTCGAGAGTTCCCTTTGATTCACAAAAACATATAAAATGCATTCAAAACACTTAACAAATGCAACCTTTCTATAGGGATTCTTCAACTTTCACCGCCACATCACCCCTCTTTAGACACTCAGAGCACACGCTCACACGCCACGCACCCCCACTCCCCAGTGCCTTCTCACAGACAACACCACTTCACTTGTTCACACTTGGAGGTCAGTAACAGGGAGGAGATAGAACACACATACCATACAAGCATTCACAACAGATAATAGAGCAATACAAATACTTAGATTTCTAGACATTCCACTACATATATATTTTTCTGTAACTATATAAGCTTGATTATATGAGAAAAGGGAAGAGAGGAGAGAGATCAAAGGGGAATAAAGGATGCAACGAATGTCCATCTGATGGTGCTACAGAAAACATACGCTGCTGCTGCTCACACTCGCTCACACAGGTTCTTCTCACATCTTGCAGGCATCTTGCTTTTTTTTCATCGCACAACCAGCTCTTTTCACACTTGCGTTCATGTTCTCTCTCAGTCCGTTCGCTCATTCAGTCTCTCCACCAACAATCCATCACCATCATCTCACTCGCTCTCAAAGCGATACATAACGGACAGATTCATCCATGAAAAAGGGGAGAAAAAGACAACACCCACCGTCTAACACAGTAAATGCAGAGTGAAGCTGTGTTCTTTGATGGCAAAGCATTTACACATGGGAAGAAGGGTACTGATACTGAGATCGCTCGAACATTGCGGCCAACGAGGGGCTTCTTCCCGGGAAATTGGAAAAGAGGTGGTGAACTGTAGAAGAGATTTATGAAGGCTTGACCATCAACTTCAAACAAAAAATGCAAACAACTCCACACAACACAGTTCAAATCAGGTTAAAAAAAAAAAAACAAAAAAAAACAGCATCTTTATGTATGATTGAGAGGGCACTGAAGCACTAACAATGCTCATTCACATTTCAGATCTCAATACTCGTTACATATGGAGATCAAGTATAGCCAAAATAAATTATCCATGAAAACAAAAATCAAATTTTCTACTTAGTGTTCATACCACTCTTGCAATTTCAACCACTCAATCTTTCTAGAGAATCTGTTTCATGTATAACTTAAACAAAAAGAAAACTAAAACAAGCAGGTATCTTCTAAATACAAGGGACATAAGATCTGACTACAAACTTTCTTCTCAAAATACTTACCATATAATCTAGAATTCAGGACACTTCAAAAGCAACTCTTTACATCCCCCAACTAGACTTGGTCTCCATACTAGAGCCAAAGCCTGAATTAAACCCACTGCCGGAGGCCGAATTAGTGCCCGCGCCCCACCCTAGACTAGCTGAACTGGTGGTGTTATAGTTACCACTTGTGCTATAGCTCTGGTTCTGATCTCTGTTGCCACTTGTTTGGCCAGCAGCAGTGGTGCCAGAGGCAGCCGTCTGACCTTGCTGACTGGCCAGCATGCCCATCATACCCCAGCTGCTCTGGAGGGCTGCCTGAGCAGCTGCCATCATGGCTGGGTTGAGGCTAAGAGCCCCAAAATTCACACTGCTGTTAGGACTGCGACTGCTACCGAAGCCCTGCCCAAACCCCCCAAAACGACCACGATCCATCATTTGCCTACTATTATTATGCTTAGGCTCTGCGTTGGAGATGTGCACACTGGTGCCCTTTATGATCAGGTCCTCGCCACACAGGGACTGGGCAACCTGGAGAGCAAAACAGTTGCCAAATTACAAGACATCAGTCAAGCTAACAGCAAACAAAAGTTCTACACTAACTGCTGAAAACCAACCTGGTCGTCAGCAAAAGTGACAAAGGCAAAAGCCCGGAAAGGCTTAGGAATGAAGACATCTGTGACTTCGCCGTACTGCATAAAGAACTGCCTAAGGTCATCAGCAGTCATGTCCTCAGTACAACGGCCCACAAACACTTTCCTACTCCGCATAGGCTCGTCTGGCCCAGCCTGTTCCAGGAAATACTAGATCAATTAATAGAAAAACAAGATCTATTCATGCATTGCCCACAACAAATCACAAGAACTGTACAATTTATTATTATGATTATAAAGACAATTCATCACAGCTGATACACTACTTACGCAGTACGAGCTATATAGTGCCAAACTAGCTATGTAAATTATATTCTATTCTTTCTGAAACGGTAGCGTTAATGTAAATATTTACTTCAATGGTTGGACATAGAGTTATACCTTTGAGTTAGGGAGCTTACAGTCACACCACCTTCCATCGATCATATGCCGTTGAGACATGACTTTAATTTGTGTCTCATAGTCTGCAAATCTCACAAAGCCAAATCCTTTGGAGTTCCCAGTTTTCACATCTCTTTTAACCTGTCAGGGAAAGAGGCAAAACTAAGCTTAAAACCTTGAATACAAACACATTAAACTTGGGTTGTAGGGGTGTAACGACACACTCTACTTAATTCACAAAACTGTGTTAATGATTCCGTATTCTCAATATTGAACACTGCAATTACCCTTCGGGACCAATAAAGTTATCTATCTATCTATCTGGCGAACAAAATTTGAATAAAGAAAAAAAAAAAGATGACTATAATCATGTCGTCTGCACAGCTTACTAAGGACACCACAGCTGGGAGGCAGAGGGAGCATTTGAGCAAGTTGTTGATTGGTGCTGACTGTTTGCAACTTTGGTGTTAAAACAATTCAACTGCATTAGACAGTATAACTAATAGAATGTCCACTGTCCATGAGGCATCACGGTTTTGCATTATATCACAATGCTGTGTTACAGCCCTACTGTGCGGTCAATCTCAGGTTCATGGAGGGTCAAAATACTGCAGTTTAGTATTTATTCATGCTCTAACAAACCCAGCTCAACTCATGAAGGACTTGCTATTTCGCTGACAATCGTAATTTAGTGTATTAAGGCAGGAAAACACTGAACTCTGCAGTTTAGACTGGAGGTTAACACCCTCTAGACGAGCAATACTAACCTGTACCATTATGACCTCTCCAAAAGTGCTGAAATAGTCTTTCAGGTCTTGTTCAGATGTTTTCCATGGTAAGCCAAGAACGATTAAATCTGAGGTTTTCTGAATACCTCTCTTAATCTTTACAGCAGAGGCAGCATCCATTTCATCCATCTTTCTTTTGTTATCTGAAACAAAAGCACAATACATCTCAAAAATATTCTACTGGTGCAAGAAAATGTGTTAAATCCCTAACGACGTGTGCCTGTCACAAGCAACAACATGCAATTGGTTCCCAAAAGAACATCATCATAGCTACACTCCTTTAAAAGATGGCTCTTCAGAAAAGGAAACGCTTCTATTTAGAACCATGAGTTCCATATAGAACCATTCCGTGCTTACATGACCCTCTGCATGAAGAAATGGTTCTTTGGATTGACTGAGACCGTGTTGTTTACAGAACCTCTTTGAAAACAGTTCAGTACAGTTCTACTATTACAAGCACGACATTGCAACAGTAGCAGGACTCTTTCTGGTGCCGTACAGAACCATTTCCAAAAAGTTCTATACATACACATCGTCAATATGGAGAACCATTTCACCATGCAAAGAGGCATTTAAGCATACAAACGGTTCTATGTAGACCCAATCCGTTTACTAAAGAACCCATCTTTGTGGCAACTCAACACTGTTAATTAACATTGATGTTCAGCATAAATGTACGTTCAACTGACAAGAGTAGAAGTTACCTTTTGGATAATTGACCACGTAGACCAGGTTGCCCCAGTCCGAGTCCGGTGCGTGCAGCACGCCCTCGACGAGACGCACCCCCCGCATGCACTGGGACACGGGGCTCCTGTAGCGCAGGCCGCAGGCGCCGGGAAACTGCGCTGCTACGGTGGACAGCAGCACAGTGCCGTCCTCCTCCGAGGGGATTTCCATCGGCTCCTCATTTTCGTCCTCAGCCACGCGAATGTAACACTCAGACATAGTTCACTCAGACAGTAAATATCACAGCGGCCGCTCGCTCTGTGCTAGCGGTGGTTAGCCACCGCGCTCGCTGAATTATTTAGTCAGCTAGCACTGCTAGCTAGCAAATACTGCACCCGTTCGAGTTCAAAACGCGCACGCTGCACCAAACAGTACGTTATCTATCAAACACAGGCGCTGTGATCACGAGTACACGGGAGAATGTGTGTCTATTCTCCATAAAACTCTCGCCCTAAGTTACCGTCCATCAGCTCTCCGCTAGATCGCTAACGGCAAATGAATGGCAGGAAGCTCTCCGCTGCGCCCGCGCTGTTGTTTTTTTCAACGGTTTTACACGAGTGGCGTGAGGCAGGAGGCTAAAGCTCGTCTTACTACTAACGAATAATTCAGTTACAAGTGTTCAACTACTGTAAAACAGTGCACCGCCATTGATAAACAACAGAAAACACACAACAAAAACCCGCTTGCTTATTTTTTCTAACCTCAAACTTCCATCAAAATGGCTACCGCGGCGTTCTCGGCGGACCGATGGCGTCATCACTCGGAAGGTCTCATTTCTGGCCAGACAGAAGGGGGGAAGAGTGCATCAGTGGGATAATAAATTCACAGCAGCGCGCGCAAATGTGGAGTCTTTGATGACATGTTTTTGTAAGTAACTTGTACGTATTTAAAACGAGAACCGTGTTGCATGACCGACTGTTCATTTTTATAAAAGCGAAAAAGTGATGAAGCGCACACCCGTCGCTTTACGGCGTCCCAGTAGTGTGCGCGAAAATGTGTTGTCCAATCACATGACGGCGTGGTTGACTGCGTTTTAGTCAGGGATGTGATTGTGATGGCGAGTCGAGTCTGTTTACGTGATGTTGTGCAGTGAAGAGCGGCCTAAAACCTCAGCGGAGTGAAAGCGTTGAAAGGGTAAAAGAAAACAGTAAAACGCTTCACACGTATTGAGTGCTTTTATGTACTTTTTGAGATCATTTTGGTGTACAATAAAAAGATACAAGTGAGAAAACGAGAGGTGTAAGCAAAAAACACAACAAAGCAGTCCTACTGTGTACTGCTGTCACCAACACAACAGAATAAAATTAAAGGGGAACTTCACCGACTTTCCCAAATTTCTGCACAGCTTAATCGTTATGCAAACAAAGTCATCATCAGAGTGTTTTGATTACATCTAAAACACAGAAGATGTGCAGGTTCACTGGTGGTTTGGGATAGCAAGTTAAATCGTGTTTGCATTCTAGACACTCTGGTTCCTATCATCACCATCCGAGTCAGTAAGTTTCTGCGGTGCGACATTTCACATTAAAACACTCTGAATGATTTTAATGGTCTTAACAATTGAATTATACAGACACGTAAAAATAAAATGATGGAATTTAAAGTTAGAGTTTGTAAATACTGTAAAAATTGCTCTTATTGTATTTACTAATATCTTATACAGTGTAGCTTGAAATACTATACTAAGGAAGGAATGTAACAAGGAATTTTAAGATTTTTCTTCTTTAAGATTTAAGAAGTTTTATTCACTATTGCAGGTTTTTTGGGGACATCAAGAAGTAAGTAAGAAAGTAAAATAAATAAATGTCTCAAGATTCATCAGTTCTCAAATTTGTGGATATTAATGTTATTCAAACTTTGTTCATCATTCTGGACACATTTTAAATTTCTCAATTTTTTACAGTTTCCTATAAATGATTTGAAATGTACGGGGTTGTACTGCATTGACGTCATATTAGAATCATTTTCTACAGTAAACAGTAATGAACACATATGGAACTGATACCCACTTCTGCTTCCTCTGTTTATGTATAATATATAACTGTGTTCTCAATACAACTATTCTGTCTTTATTTGTAGAACAAAAAGCAGATGCTTTTTTCCATTGTTCAGTCCACTGGGCATGAGCTATAACATCAAATATGTTTCACCATTTCTCTGAAGAGCTTTATCAGTTTAAAAGAGCTGCAGAAACATTCCTCAGCAATCAATCATTTGTCCTGAAAGAGCTTGAGCCACTTTTGGCTGCAAAGGCAGATCTGTTACACTGATAGAAATTATATCGGGCAGGTCTTTGACTTTTTATTATCTCTGTTTTTTTTTCTTCTCAAAAATCCCTTTTTAGGCCTAAATCTGTATCTGCCAAAAGCTGTATTCATTATCTAGACAGCAGCCGGAGCCTCTAATCACATGAAACAATTACAGTTGTTGCTTTTAAGCTTTTAGACAATAGTTTTGACATGAAAGACCTCACTGTGTTTACTAAATGAGAAGCAGAATGTGCAGAAGTGTGTGGATGTAAAAAGCCCCCAGTGTTAATGAACAAAGCCCCCTACTCTCCTTCCTTTCTACTCAGCCTCTTTGTAACTCAGCCTGTGATCTGCTTTTATGGTGTTCCTTGCATTGAGCTGTGAGTTTAAGTAGGCAAACACAGGTGATGCTTCAAGTCCTGCAGAGCTCAGCTGCCAGTATCAGACACTGACTTGGCTGCCATGAACCTGATGCACCTCTGGATTTTCATACTGTCCTTGTAAGTATAGCATACTTACTACTTTTCTAGTAGTTTAAAGGAAGCGTTGTGAATGGATTATAACCTGAACAAAACACTTGCAGGATCACATAAATATGTGATCCAAATAACCTGTTTCTGTCTTTTTGCCACACAGGTATTTTGTTTTGCCTACAAGTGGCAATGTTTTACGGGTTCATAAGCGTGACTGGATTGACAGCTCACCTGCAGCTGTTGCTGGTAAGTCTTTATGAAGTGTCTATAAATAATTAAATGCTTGAGATCTGCTCCACAGCTTTGGTGGGGTGGAGGTTTAAGACATTCTCTATTCACCTGCTGTTATGATATCCAGTACTGTGCAAAGGTCAGACATCACCTTTTATTGATGAAATTTCTAGTCAAAACAGCCAATAAGTACAAGCTATTCATCATGAAAAAACAGGAGTTTCCAAAAGAAGAGAAAATGGGACTCTCAACAACAGTGCGAGACCTGTTAGACTGCCAAAACTGTCATCAGATAAAAACAGTACTTAAAGCTTTCATCATGTCATCAGGCTTCGCTCTTGCTTCAGATCAGAAAAAATCCACAGTCATTTCTGTCCATCCTTCCACTGTAAGACAACCTAACGCTATGGGTGTGAAAGGATTTGTTGCTGTCAAGAAGCTCTTACTGACAAATTAAAAATTTGCAAATCTAACAAAGAAGCTGCTGGTGTTCTTAGAACAATGGACTGACCACCCCAGAGTCCAGATCACATCACTGAATGTGTTGAAAAACTAAAAGTGACTCTCCTGAAAAGAATGGAAGCATTATTAAAGAAAAAGAGTGGACACACTAAATACTGAACAAATGTATATTGTATTTAGTAGTTGAGGCTTCTGTGCAGTTTTCTGTTAAACATGTTTATGTTTTTTTTCCTCATCTTGAAAAATGAATAACGTTTACTTTTGAAGGAGTAATGGATGGTCTCTGATTTTTTGGACAGCATTGTATACCGATGTCCTTCACAGTGCATTGGGCACAGAATTTTGAAAAACGTGGTGGGAGGCATTACTGTGTGGGGACATTTGCTACCACATTAGGAACCAGATGGGAACTAAACTGAGAGAAAAATAGGCAGAGGTGAATGAAAAGGGTAAAGTACAGACATACAGCAATCTTTGTTGTTTGCTTCAGAGGGAGACGTGGAATGCTTCTCTGAATACATGGAACTATGGATCCACAGAATGAGAATAGAGGGGTTAAGGCTATGGCTTTCAGCAATTTTAAGGATTCAAGGTGAGGTATAGCCTGGAGAAATGTGCATACAGAGTCGCCTAAGATATAAAACAGCATCAGTGCAAAACTGACTCATGGCTTATGAATGAGCAAATCCTTGTTTCTGCCTCTTCTCTAGTCACTCTTATGTCCCTGGAGAGCCTAAACCATCAGCTGTCTGCTTGTGGGTTTGGCCTCCATAAAGATCCTGACAGGAACTACATCTTCAGAGTCATGTACAGCGGATGCTTTGTACAGTTAGAGGTAAAGGCTAATACGTTTCTAAATTACATCTTTATCATTATAGCAAAGGTCATTTTATTGTACTTGTTCAGGCCAGAGAAGATATGATTCATGACAGTGATTCACATTGTTGTGCAGTGAAATTACAAAACCATCCAATCTGCTTTTCCCAGCATGGCCATTATGTGATTGTGCTGAATTTGATGAAGAGAATAAGCCGTTTTGGTGGCAGGACACAGAATTATGTAATGAAATGTCCTGAAGTGGCAGCACCACCCAACAGAGAACATATTCAGTGTGACCCTGATTTCATACAGGTAGGTCTTTAAAAGCAGAGCTGTTAGCAACTGTACACAACAACATGGACTGTCTTCTTTCTCTCTGTGCTTCACTTCATTTTAAGCGTACAACCTTGCATTTTCAAAGGTTACCAGACAGATCCCACTGGACAGCTGGAACAATGAGGTAATGTCCATTACAAATTGATCAGTGTGTCACATATAAGGGGAAACAAAGCACAGCCATCTGTGAAGAAAAAAATGTTATGGTATGTTTTATTCATAAAGAGTTTTTATTCAGGCAACATGATTGTTAATAATGCTGTTATTTCTCCCTCTTAGCTCGCTTGGTCTCTCACTTTGAGAGGAAGTCTGGTGGTGGCGCTGGAAGATGCTAGTCTCATTCAAGTAAACGTTGACATTCAGAAGCGATATATTACTGTTCAAGGCAGGAGGAACGCAGTTCTCAGCCCTGTACAGGTCAGTTAAAATACTGAATAACTGACCCAATAATAGCTTGAAATAGTTGTTACTTCACTATTAACTAACAACAGTTAGTTAATAGTGCTGCTACACGAGGGTGTTAGCTTTCAGTACAGCAGGTGTAGTCTGCCATCTTGTGGTCATCAGAGTAAAATGTTCAAAATCTGTCATACAAAAACCGTGGCATGTTTTTCAGGTATTACAGGCTGAGGGGCAGTTTCTGCCTCTGAAGCTGGTCAGTGGACATTATGCCTATAGCATGGAGGCTACTTGCCCAAATGGTGGGTACAGCTTAGCTCTTACATATATCCACTGAATTACCAATTTATTAGGTAGATCTACCATCTACCTACACTCACTGGGCCTCACTCACCAATATCTTCCTAAGCCTTTCTTAAATTTGTTCTTAAGAAAGGTCCTAAGAAAAATTCTACGCCACATTCATGACATGTTCTTAAACCGCAGAATTGTTCTTACCTTTGTGCTCTTGAGTGTGTAGTTTCTATTATTACCTGAGCACGAATCCCCAATAAGAAAACACTGGTCAATGTCAGAATCTTTGTGAAAACTGCATAAGTGGGTTTTAAGAAGAAATGGATGGTGAATGAGGCCCATTGTCCATTTTATCAGGTATACCACTTAGGTGCACTTTGTAGCCTTACATTTACTGATTGCAGCTTATTTGAAAAGCCAAATGCATCAGATCACAAAGATTTCTGGGCAAATTTAGCAGCAAACCTTTGTGTTCACTTTGCTCCTCTGAGGGCTCATCTAAGACCCTTCACTTGAGCTACTAAAGTAACGGAACAGCCCTTAAGATGGCGTCAAATGGCAAGGCTAAGTGGACGAGGACATGTTATGATGGCTGTTGAAACTGATAGCAGATATCATTTGAGTGGTGGACCATTCTCAGCACAGCAGTGACCCCAGCATTCTAGTGTATGAGGCACAACAGTACCTGATAAAATGGCCAATCAGTGTACACACAAGTCAGAGATACCCAATAAACTGGCAAACGGCTACATCTGTACATGTTCACTTTGCACATTTCTCTGATTCAGTGATTCAGTACTCGTCTGAGGACACAGTAGTACACATATACAAACGCCGCATGGGGCTGACCAAGAGAGGAGGCTATGACAATGAGACCCTAACGGTCAGCAGTGTGTCTGTCAACCAGACGGATATGTTCACCTGGTCTGAGACCCACAGCTTTGTGCAGCTTATCGTACCCACCGCCCTTATTCAAAAAACAAAGGTGAACGAACATTTCCCTCATCCAGTAGGTTTCCATTGCCTTCCTTTGCATATTACTACAGCTATCATTGTGTCTTCTCTTTCAGAATTGCACTGATAAAGAGGATGCAAATCTCCAACAGCCTTTTTTCAGAATAGACATTGTGCTCACTTTTAAGGAGACAAATAACAAAATGCTCTGGACTATGGAGAACACATCACCATGCTCAGGTGAGTATAGCCCCATGTTAAAAGATTGAACCAAATTTACACAATTTGCCCCTTGTCCCAAATGTTTGGGTCCAAAGACATTGGCTATTCAAAGTTTGCTTCCCGAGTCTTTAGATGAGGCAACTAAAGACTAAGGAAGTTGTCTATTTACAATGGTTTTTGTCAAGATGTCTGCTTTGAGAGTCAATATTTGTTCAAGTAATGGAAGCTTATATTTATAATTAGCATTATGTACACTGCATGCTTGAATAATCACACACGCTTCAAACAGGGTGGAGTTGTTGAGTCTCAAACAGACTTCTGTCCATGTGTGGTGTTCTGTGTCCTATATAAATGGACACAAGCATGCACACAAGTCAGGCTTCACATTGGGTGCTACTACAGTTTTTAGCAAGACAATACTTTTGTCTGTTTTTGTAGATGACAGATGTCATACAGTGTCTGGAACCATACAAGAAAGTCTATTTTAGATTACTTAATAACTCAACACTATTTGAGTCAAATTTGTGATGATTCAGATAAACAGGTATATGATGCTAACTGGTGGGGTGAGCTTTTATGACTTGTTAGCAACTTTAAACTTGTAGTTCCAGTGCAAAACTGAAAAAGCAAACTTCAGACACAAAACATGTCTTGGCTGATCAAGTGCATTTGGGGTTAGGGGGGAATTAAGTAGATCTGATCTTCCACCAAAGTATTCCTCTAAATCAGAGGATACATAAGGCATTGTTGAGACATTTCAAACAGATCAGACACAAACATGTCTTGGCTGATTGATTACATTTTGGCATAAGATTTTTTGCTGAACTGTTGTCCCAGTCCAATGTCAGTCCAATGTCAGTGTGAAATCTGATTATACCATAGACTAACAACATCATATGGATTTGTTGCAGGCTCTGACATTCCTTCAGTGGAGACAAAATCTCATTCTTCAGGAACACTTAACCCTCCTAAGACAGAAAACACTGCTTCAAACCCCACATTTCCTTACTCAGAAGCCACAATTGGACCACTGCTCTCCACTGAGGCTTCCAGCATGGATCTCCAGACATCATCTCAGACAAGAGAATCAAGATTTAGCAGCACATTAAAATCTAGCCAGGCTTTTCCAGCTACTAAGATCCCCAGAGTGTCATCAGTGTCTCCACATAGCTCCAGTTCACCAGAAACGGACACAACTCAAGTGCAAAACAGTACCAACTCCCTGTTAGCACACACAGGTAAGCTAATGAAGCAGATAACCACCAGCACTCCGTATCAAAACACGGACATTCTTGAGAGTTTTGTTCCAACAGTGTCCACATATGCTACCAGTGAAGCAAACACGGATGCAACACTAACACTAAGCTTAGCCACTTCTTCACTGAATGTTCCCTCTGAGCGATTCGTGGACTTGGCTCATGCTAGAGAAGCCACATCAGATGGACCATCTAACTCCACCGCAGGCAACAGAACTAGTACAAGCACGCAGGAGTATTAACAGAGCTGCACTGTTCACTGTATCTCTTTCTCCCACCGGAAAATTCAACACTATGTTCAAGTGGAGTCTTCTGACATCATCATTGTCTTTAGAGAGCACTAGGAAACCACCACTGGAGTCGAAGAGGATTACCATGATGAAGACAGCTTCAGACATCACTTTAAACCCTCAACTTGGGTCCCTAAAGCCCCTCCAGCTCCATCAAGTCACTCTCCACCATCCCTATATTCTTCTTAACATGATATTGTGGACCACTTAGTAGAAAAATAGCACCGATTCACAACAGAAGAGGAATTCACAAACCTGTGATGATTTGTACAACAGCAAGCACATACACTGCTATTCAAATGTTTGCCTTTTCATTATTAATAATACTATTTTTTTAATTTACTGACTTTTCAATAATTCAATCACTGACATGTAAACAGTCATTCATAGTGGTTTGATGTAAATTGTGCATTCTAAAGAAAACCTATTGATTTCTTTACAGTGATCTTTAACTAGGAGTCACAATGTCTACAACAAAAATAGAGCCATTTTAATTACTATCCAAATTGACCAGTGAATGTACACTTCTGAGCTGTTATATGTAATGTTGATAATGATAGAAATTATGGTAAATCTGAAATAAATAAAGTTTTCCTTGGGAATTATTTTGCCTTAGAGCAATCTGCCTGAACCTCTCCACCAAAAAATAAGTTTTAGACCAAAAGCTTATCTCAAAACTACCGTAAAACAATGCCTCAGACATCAGGCAGCACAATCATAACCTGTTCACATAATAACTTGCTGTGATGTAGCTTTTAGAGGAATAAAGTGCTTCAGACATCTGGTTTCTGTCAACACCACTGTAAACGGTTCTGACTCTTGATGATTTAATTACTTTAAATATGCAGAATTTTTGGAAAGTTGGTGTTTTGCTGGTTTACATTTCTTTTGGTCCATATGTTCTCTGAGTTTGCCTGAACACAAATCTAAAGACATATTCCCAACAGATTAAACCATTTGGCTAAAGAGTGAGCTTTTATCACTTAACTGATCATATTAAATTCAGTCTTTCAGTCACATGATGACCACTTTTTATGAAAACTGCTGATATTCACGAAAGTGACAGAAAGGCCAAATCTGATTGTGAATAAAAGTATGAATATTACACATAATTTAAAACATCAAATGGGAACTGACTGGCTCATCAAAGTTATTACTGTACAAAATGTTATCATGTTAGATCATTAGCTGGAGCTTGTGTGGCAGAATGCGGCTTGTATTGACATACAAGCACAGTTCAAAACAAGAGAGAATAAGAAGACAATATGGGAGCAATAAGAAGTAAACAGTAATCAACATAGACCACTCACTCAGGCATGATGGTTATATAGGCTTCTACAGTGCAAAAAGACAAAACATCCAACAATTCATAATGAAATAATTTCAAATATGAGACATTATGGATAATAATTGTATCATTGTTCTTAACAGCTTCCTCCTAATTATTTGAAACTGAAGTTGCACAGGACTAGCATAAACTGCATAAACTGCAATAATACATAAATCAGAAGTGCCTTTGCGTAACAGTCATGCCTCTATGGAACATGTACATGTAATGCTGTAATTGGTGGCTAGCTCTGGGTGAATGTAAGCAGCATCTGCCTGTGCTGTCACAGAGGACTATGTGTCTGTGATCGCCCTGGCAGAAAACAGAATCACCCTGCATCATGGCAACTACTGCCTGGAGGCACGCTACGCCTGCCACAGAGCCCTTTGAAGCAGTGTGGCTTTTTATGTTTTCAACAACTGCCACCACCACTAAAAAAAGCCTGTACTGCGCAGCACGTTCTATTGCTGCATTTACCAAGTAAGGAAGCAGCGCAGCACAATATTTGATATGGTCCCGACCATAAACAGCCATATGCAAAAGTTTGAACACTCCCTGGTTTTGTATATTTTGTGCAAATAAGTTAACCCATCCTCTACAGAGAACAAATTTAAACATAGCAAAAAATAGGGTGCAATATCTATTTGGGTTTAACATAGTAGAAAAAATCAAGAATAAAATATAAAATGAACCACAGGTCACCCTTTGTGTTTAATTTTTTCCCAATATGTTGAATTCAGCAAATAGAGTAGCTGTGCATTAAAAGAAGTCTGTTCTCTGAACTTATTCTCACGTAGAAAAGCAACAAAACATGACATTTAATTTAACTGGTGCACCCAAACTTTTGCATACGACTGTACGATGTTTAGATTTCGGTTGCTCTGTTTCTGCATATGACTTTATGCTTGGCTGATGAAGGTAGTGTGATTTGTTTCCATTATGTAATCACATATTTCATCATGTATCTACCTCATACTGATATATTTCACTTCTTTCTGTGGACTCACTGATGAATTACTTCATTGATATAATAATGAAAATAATGATACTACTACTACTAATAATAATAATAATGATAATGATACTACTACTACTACTACTAATAACAATAATAATGATGATGATACTACTACTACTACTACTAATAATAATAATGATAATATTAATAATACTACTATTATTTCTACTAATAATAATGATAATAATTATTAAAAAAAGAAATAAAGATTGAATTTGAATGCTTTTGTAAAAATTTGCACATTCTGCTGCAAAGTTTATATTAAAATTAAAATTCAGAACATCAGTGCCAGAAACATCTTTAAACATATTTCACATTTGCTAAACAAATTCAGTTTAACCACAATCCTATCTCTCTGCAGATCAAACACAGTCACAAAAGGCAGTGTTAAATGTAAGCGACATGGTTTTGCTCAAAAGTGAGGAAATGTACTGCAGCCAAAATATATGAATATGAAAATTATTGTAGCTTTTTTTGCATCAGGGTTGACATGCTGTGAAAAAGGGCCTTTTTTCATGAATTAACATGAAACAACCATGTCTGAGCAATGGCAGTATGTGAAAGGGTCAGTAGATGGCACCAGACCCTCAATGTAAGACTCAGTTTGTGGGAATATTACTGGCTGTTGAACCACCAATGTGATCTGTAACTTCACAAACTGTTTTGGCCGTGGCCAGTCATAGTAAGAGAATAAGAGCCCACTATTCTTATTGCTCATATAAGTATAAAATATTAGTCACTGATGTACATGTATGTACTGAGATTCTGTTGAGAAACAACTTGGCCTGAACCTCAGATGGGTGCTTGGCTAATTTGGCTTTACTGCACAATTTTCCACGCTCGACTGCATTCAATTAGATTGCTGAAAGGGCAGCTTGTTTTAATGTAACCCAGTCAGGATATTCATTTAAATTCTGGACATTTGAGAGAAGAACCCCATGAACACCTTTGAAGTTAATACAGATTAGACATTCATTTGTTGGTTAAATATTGACAACACTTGTTCGTCCTGACTTAGTTTTTCTAACCAAAAACTGCATTTGGACAAATGTGACATTAATTATAATAATACATCTGTGCATTGTGTGTATTTGTCATTCCAGGCTTGGCCATTCATAATTCACAATAGGACATGGCATAATAAATCTAACCAAGAGGAATGGTTGGGAGGCAGTCCTTGTGCTTTTGTTTGGCATCTGCTACATGAACTTGTGAACAGGAAATACAATAGTGCCCGCAAAGTACACCAATATCCCAGGCCTTTCATGTGGCTCTTCCGAGCCATTATATTTTCTGTGTAGGCTATTAACTGTCACTATCTGTTAAGCTTAAAAATCTCTTTCATGTTTTTTCCACCTCTTTCTTTTTCATATGTGTTGCACATATGGGAAGTGTTCGACATGCTATAAAGACTAAGTGTTGTGACACTGTTAAGATTTTGTCACATTAAACGTGAATATCTTGATATCTAAAGAGCCCAGTTTGTTTAATGAAAGTTTACCTCAATGTAATCAAACTACAGACTGTTGTTTCAGTTGTAAAGGTTTTAATGCTTTGAGTATGTAGTCGATTGGCCAAGACATGTTTAAACAAGCATTTAGACCTAAAATATTTACAAGGATTATCTTATTATTATTATTATTATTAGTAATAGTAGTAGTAGTATATAGTTGAGATAGTAATAAGGTAAATATATACAAAATCATAATTTCTAGGATACTTTCTATTAGGAGGTATTTATCCCAAACCCCTACATTTCAAAATTGTTTTGTATTATTTTGCACTTTTTAAGTGTTTTTAAACACCTTTTGATTTCTTTTAAAGTGAAGTTGAAAAATTTAGGTTTATCATATGTTTCATTTTTAAATAAAAAAAAAACCCTGTCCCAGGGTTCTATGTCACTACCGAAGCACAGGAGTTTTAGTCTCTAGCCTTATTTTAGCCACACCCCTGTATTTAGAGCAGGAAGTGAGACTGTATCCCTGTCCCTCATGGCCACAGGGTGAGCAGTTAGATCCCATTGTTTTGAAGTAAATGTCTCCCAAAGTCTGAAAATCACATTAAGAACTGTCTCTACCGAAACACATATTTTGTGCTATTGAAATATTAAAAATATTATGTTTGATGTGTGTACAACTGTTAAAATTTGTGCTTGCTAGTTATGTACTGGCAAGCGTTTTTGAGTTCTGCTTAAAATGGGCTAAAATTGTCATTACAGAAACATTTGGCAAAGTTTCGCCAGTGTTATGAATGTTTTGGTAATGACTAAAGGGAATGTTCAGTCATTTGTTTAAATAAATTAAATATTATTAAAGGCACAGGGTCATAGGATTCTAGTGTAAATCTGAGTCGGTTAAAAGTCTGTAATGTGTTTTGAACTCTGACTTTGACGCAGTTTGGTAGAATGAGCCATATAGATATGGTTATTTATAAAAACGGACTACACTACAGGCTTCAGGATGGCTGCCACTACGGTTTTTACCCCTGTGGTGCGCAGCTCTGTTTACTTTCGGGGTAAATTATATGCGCGACTTTTCGACCAACTGTTCATTTATGGTCTATAAATTACTTTTTAGTACATTTCTCTGATCCAGTGGTCTCAGTCGTGGTCCAGCGGTCTCGGCCTTGGTCCTGGACAACCACTGCCCTGCACGTCATGCCCTGTGTCTCAAATTGTGTGCTACGCACTTCTAGCACAAGCAGTGTGTTCACACTGCAAAATGAAGCGTGGTGTTATATACTGTTAAAACCTGGATGATGTACTAAAACACCTGAAAAAAGAAGTGTGGAATGCTGCACAGCTTTTCCTAGACTGACAACCAAATTCCAGGACAATCCTGGAGGGGAGGCAACCCTATGCCCAGACAGAGACACTTGGATTGTTTTCACTGCTCTAACACACTAAGTTTACCTCAGGAAGGGATTGTTAATTAGTTCATTGGTTGCATCAGGTGTGCAATGTTTCAGGACAGTGGAACTCCAGGACCAGCATTGAGAAACACTGCTTTAATAAGATCTCTAAAAGATCAACAAACCTATATGCAGTGTTTACTTGACAAATACAGCTACACATTAGAGTGGATGCCATGGAGCTACAGTTCCCCAGTTTAAAAAGCCACTGTGCAGCACAGCGCACGCAGCCGTGCCACAGTGGCTCATTCGGCTGTGGGGTTTAGCAGACGGAGTGTGCCGCAGGAGGAGCGGGGCTGGGAGAGGGGAGGCATGCTGGGCTTTGGTGGTTACACTCTGCCTCTTCATCTCACTTGCCGGGTAATTACAGAATCAC